GAATGACTCATCTATACTTGATCAATTCAGAATAAGAACATTTGTTAGCACAGAAAAGAAAGAACCTTGAATGTGTGGAGCTCTGCTATTTTATTTACTGACTTCCACCTATCACAGATGTTCCAAGTTTAAAAGTCCTGGCAAAAGCACCTTTAAATTTAAGTGAAGTTTATTTTAGAGTGCATTTCTCATTTATCACTTAATAGTTTCCTGTTACAGTTCAAAAAAGTTTATATGGAACTTGTTTACTCCTTAAAATCATGCAGCAAACACAAACAACAGTAGAAATTGTATGTTTTGCTGTAAATTACTAACATTCCTACCAGGCTCATGATCTAAAGCTTGCTGAAGTACTTTTTCTGCCTTTTCATACTGCTTCAGTTTCATTAAAAGCTCAGCCAAATCATAGCAAAGGAAATTCTGTTGACCACTTCTCAATGCAGCCTCATAGTAACTGATTGCCTAAAAGGAAAAAAACAAAAGTCTGAGTTATTATTTAAAGACAAATCTTAAAGACAACCACCTTGCTACTTAGGTATTTAATGACATGCTGCTTAGAGTTTTCTCTACTTTCTTCACTTCTCTCGTAATGAAGTAATTTCTAATAAATACTGTATTAAAAAGATGTTATTTAGTTGCAAGTTCAGGCTTCCAAAAATGTAATACCAAATTAAAGATAAATAGAATAACTAGAGCCCACATTTTTATAAACATGCATTTACATAGCCTAACCACATTATCACGTTCTATCTTTGACAGGGTCACTGCCAATTAAACTACATTTTCATTAGCTGCTGAAGTTGTATAATTCCAGTCAGACTGGAGTCATAAAGTTCTGTTTATTTTCCCAAAGTCTACGGGCAAAACATGAAGATAAAAGAAGTAATGAAAAGTTTAAAAATATCAACTAGGCATAATCTAATAGAAATGAGTCTTCTCTCTTTGCATTTTTAAACATAAAACCTGACAATCATACTCATTAAAAAAGTCAAATATTTACTCAAGAAAAAAAGCAATGTTCTGGATCAATAAATTATTGATGTTACTTCTCTAAGTAAAGGGAAAAATGAGAACTGGAAGTATGTTGAAAAGTTACATTTCCAAAATTAACTTGAAATATTTTATTAACTTTTGTTTTAAAATAGAACATGTTTAGACATGCATAATAATGCACATATCAGGCAGGTTACCTATTTAGGCTTAAGCATCCTAAAGATAATATAGCTGAAGCATCAAAATAAAAAATTAGAGTCCATAAAACACTCATCACCATATAGTTTACAAGTTTTTTCTATAGCAGCTCTAGGAACCCTCACAGTACATTACATTATTACACACACAAAAAAGAAAAAAGGTCTGAGTATCATGGAGCAAGGTAGGAATCATATACTGAGCTGCTTGTAATACTGACCTAAACAGAAGCAAGTGAAAATTCTAACATTGCAAACACAAAACACAATTTGGACACACCCTCCAGCAGTTTGAGGTTGCCCAAATAAAATCATTTGCTCCTGCAAGTTTTCCCTGAACAGTTTCTTCTGTTTTTCCTGCAATAAGAAGTTAAAGCCTCTATTACTACTCTCCTAGTAGTAGTAACAGGAGATGTAACATCTCCTAAGGCTAGGAGATGTAACAAGACTGGGTCAATGGAGAAGTAGATAAACATGGTTTTGAGTGCAGGCCCAAACCCACATAAACTGCAAGTCACCAGAACTACAATTCACCAGATTTGTATCCACCAACGTGTAATTGTGCCTTTGGCCAGATATTTTGAAGGGGATCTACAAACTTACTTTCAGGATAGGAGATGTAACAAGACTGGGTCAATGGAGAAGTAGATAAACATGGTTTTGAGTGCAGGCCCAAACCCACATAAACTGCAAGTCACCAGAACTACAATTCACCAGATTTGTATCCACCAACGTGTAATTGTGCCTTTGGCCAGATATTTTGAAGGGGATCTACAAACTTACTTTCAGGATAGAAAGACTGTTTAGTGCTTTAAACTGAAAAGCTTCCTTCTATCCAACCTGAAAAGAGTGAAAGTGCAGTTGACTAATCACATCACACATAAGCAAGAACCAGCTCATACGTCACAAATATAAAAACTGTATATTCCCTGGAACAACACACTGAGTATTTCACATTCAATGTGATAAGAAAGAAATCTGTAGTGGGATTTCTATGCAACAGAGCTCCCCAGTCACTGCTTGGTAACTTGCTTGGTCATTAATTGTCTTCCTGAAAAAAAAAATCTATTAAATAGACATTCCCAGAAAATGGAGAACCTTTGGGTTTACACCATGTTTCTCCTTCGGCAACCTCCTGGCACAATGGCAATAAACATGCAACTTTAAACAGATAAGATGATGGCATATTAAGACATTGCTTGAAAGAGTCTGTGCAGTATCACTTATCTAAGCTGGTAATACAGAAATTCAGACTGGAACTTTCAATTAGTATTAAGCCTGACAAGAAGTGACGACAGGAGCTAATAGTCCTATCGTGAATCCAAGGCAGAAAACAGATTTCATAGAATCACAGAATGGTTTGGGTTGGAAGGGACCTTAAAGATCACCTAGTTCCAACCCCTCTGCCATGGGCAGGTACGCCTTCCACTAGACCAGGTTGCTCAAAGCCCCATCCAGCCTGGCCTTGAACACTTCCAGGGAGGGGAATGCACATATCAGGCAGGTTACCTATTTAGGCTTAAGCATCCTAAAGATAATATAGCTGAAGCATCAAAATAAAAAATTAGAGTCCATAAAACACTCATCACCATATAGTTTACAAGTTTTTTCTATAGCAGCTCTAGGAACCCTCACAGTACATTACATTATTACACACACAAAAAAGAAAAAAGGTCTGAGTATCATGGAGCAAGGTAGGAATCATATACTGAGCTGCTTGTAATACTGACCTAAACAGAAGCAAGTGAAAATTCTAACATTGCAAACACAAAACACAATTTGGACACACCCTCCAGCAGTTTGAGGTTGCCCAAATAAAATCATTTGCTCCTGCAAGTTTTCCCTGAACAGTTTCTTCTGTTTTTCCTGCAATAAGAAGTTAAAGCCTCTATTACTACTCTCCTAGTAGTAGTAACAGGAGATGTAACATCTCCTAAGGCTAGGAGATGTAACAAGACTGGGTCAATGGAGAAGTAGATAAACATGGTTTTGAGTGCAGGCCCAAACCCACATAAACTGCAAGTCACCAGAACTACAATTCACCAGATTTGTATCCACCAACGTGTAATTGTGCCTTTGGCCAGATATTTTGAAGGGGATCTACAAACTTACTTTCAGGATAGAAAGACTGTTTAGTGCTTTAAACTGAAAAGCTTCCTTCTATCCAACCTGAAAAGAGTGAAAGTGCAGTTGACTAATCACATCACACATAAGCAAGAACCAGCTCATACGTCACAAATATAAAAACTGTATATTCCCTGGAACAACACACTGAGTATTTCACATTCAATGTGATAAGAAAGAAATCTGTAGTGGGATTTCTATGCAACAGAGCTCCCCAGTCACTGCTTGGTAACTTGCTTGGTCATTAATTGTCTTCCTGAAAAAAAAAATCTATTAAATAGACATTCCCAGAAAATGGAGAACCTTTGGGTTTACACCATGTTTCTCCTTCGGCAACCTCCTGGCACAATGGCAATAAACATGCAACTTTAAACAGATAAGATGATGGCATATTAAGACATTGCTTGAAAGAGTCTGTGCAGTATCACTTATCTAAGCTGGTAATACAGAAATTCAGACTGGAACTTTCAATTAGTATTAAGCCTGACAAGAAGTGACGACAGGAGCTAATAGTCCTATCGTGAATCCAAGGCAGAAAACAGATTTCATAGAATCACAGAATGGTTTGGGTTGGAAGGGACCTTAAAGATCACCTAGTTCCAACCCCTCTGCCATGGGCAGGTACGCCTTCCACTAGACCAGGTTGCTCAAAGCCCCATCCAGCCTGGCCTTGAACACTTCCAGGGAGGGGGCATCCACAACTTCTCTGGGCAACCTGTTCCAGTGCTTCACCACCTTCACAGCAAAGAACTTCTTCCTAATATCTAATCTAAATCTACCCTTTTTCAGTTTAAAACCATTACCCCTCGTCTCACCACTACACTCCCCGATAAAGAATCCCTCCCCATCTTTCCTGTAGGCCCCCTTTAAGTACTGGAAGGCTTAAGGTCTGTAAGGTCTCCCTGGAGCCTTCTTTACTCTAGGCTAAACAACCCCAACTGTCTCAGCTTGTCCTCATATGGAAGGTGCTCCAGCCCCCTGATCACCTTTGTGGCCCTCCTCATAACTTCTTCCAGGTCCAAGAGGGGTAGAGAGACCATTATTTGAAACAACTTCCATAAGTACAGGTTGTGCTAAGCATTTATGGAACAGGTGCTGCTGAAACAAAGCACAGAGCCATTTCTCTTACTTGATCTCCCAGGCACTTTCTGCACCCATTTACTATTTGTTACTTCAATACAAGTGACTAGAAAAAAGAGCAGATACTGAAAGTTAGGAAGTTGGCACTGATTCCTCTGCAATTTAAACTTGTCTACCAATCCACATCAAAGCCACTTGTACAGAATGTACATGCCAGCTTGGGAAGATGTTGGTTTCCTCCAAAAAAGAAATTAGAAACTCTCAGCTTCTTTCACAGCACATATGCAAGAGAATACTGTAAACACAAAACAGTTAAGCCTTTTGGCAACATGGAGACTATTTAAGAACATTGTATTAAGAGGCTCAGTGAGATGTAAACAAAACATAAAAGACCCAAGTTCAAGATTCCTATATGTAAGCACTAAGGGTACAATCATACCATTTCCCCAGCACTACAGGCCTGCTTGCTTCCTTCCCAGACTGTCCCAAAACACTTTCTTCCTTTCCCTGTCCTGTGCAAGGGCCATAGAGCGACCGACCAGATATTCTGAAGGGGATCTACAAACTTACTTTCAGGATAAAAAGTCTTTTTAGTGCTTTAAAGTGAAATGCTTCTTCTACCCAACCTGAAAACAAAATCAGGCAAAGCCCACATGTTGACAATAATGGACACAATACTTAATTAGCCTAATACAGTACTTGTAGAATACCTTTGAATAGTTATGCATTTTGATCAGGGCTTTTCCAATTTTACTTGCTAAAGCTGGATCTTTTGGATTTTTCTTCAAGGCCTGCTCGTAGACTTCTATGGCTTCATCAGGCTTCAGCAGCAAAAGATAAAAACATAGAAGTCAAGGATTAAGATAAAAAGTGTATGAAGAAAACAAAATCTGGTAACACCTCCAGAAATGGCTGCCAAGTACTACTGATTCATGAGCTACAATACTTCTGAGAGAAGAATGGTCACTATGAAATTGCAGGAAGTATAAAACCCATGTAAATTTACATTTCCATACTAAAACAGAATGTGGAGAGAACTTGGCAAACAAATGAGTTTGAATTAACCCAATTCTTTTTCCACTGAAATTTCTCTACTACTATTTTCACTAGTTAACAAACTTATGCAATCTTATTACTGTGTTGGAAGATCATGCATTTCTCTACCCTAGCCACGTTATAGCCACGTTATAGCAGATCTAAACAAATTCCCTTTTGCTTTATAATTCTTCATTAAGGAGAAAACTACGCACAAACATTAATAAGTAAACAAACATTAATTACCTACAGATCCCCAAACTAATAATCTAAACTATTAGTTGCATGTCTTAACCCAATCTATTCCTTCAAAATATGAATTTAAATGTGTATCCTTCAAATTCCTATGTCCACTTGACTACATTCTCTTCTACAAATACTGAATAACATTTCCAGTTCCTCAAGAAAGCAAAGAATGTAAAAAAAATTGTATAGGAATTCAATAATTTAATTTTTTTAAATAAAACTTTCAATACGAGAACTAAGTTACCTAGAATTATTCTAAGCTTCAGAACTCTTCTAAACATCTCCAACTTCTTTCTGAATTTAATTTAGCTCTCAATTAGATTTTTGTTAGTCTTATGGGTCAGTGTTCTTCTACAGAAAATTCTCTCCTTGACTTTCACCTGGTCAGTTATTAGCAGAAATGCATTTTCAACAGCTTTTTCTCTGAACTTAGAATAGTTACATTTGTAGCCAGTAATTATGTTTCTTTACATCCTAAAGCAGTTTGTTTGCCAACTACTAATCAATAAGAGTCAGCAAGCTACATTGTCTCAACTTGCCAAAGTCAACAAATGACTCAATGATACTATTAATCTCTAGCACCACTTACCTCTTGAATATTCATGTACGCATCACCAAGAAGAAGGAAAGTATGAGCACTTGGCAGTTTTTCTACTAGGTCTCTGGAAATAGAAGACAGAACCTTGCTCAATATTTAACATGTCAATACTGGTATCTAAACAACAACAAATAGGGCACAACAATTTTATCCTCTGAAGATTTTAGTTTTTATTTCTGAAAATAAAACAAAAAAATCTGAGATATCTTTCCAAAATAGGACTTCCAATTACTGTTTTAAGTGTTACAACACTTACTCAAATGAATTTATTATGCCACTAAATATTTCTGACTTATTGTAGTAGATAGGGAAAAAATGGCTCACCATGCTACCATTAAACATCTAGGAAAAGATATACACACAAACTTTTACCTATAGCAGCCAGCATATAATTTCTTATCTTTCCTGTACTGAAGATAAATATCTGCCATTTTTTCTTTAGCTTGTACAAAGTAAGGCTGTTCAGGTGTAATATTTCGGAGCATAGTCAAGGCTTGTTCAACATCTCCTTGAGCAATTGCCAGATCTGCATTTGCAATCACAACTCTTAGTTCCTCAGGAGTTCCAGAAAATTCATTAATGGCGTCTTGCAGTACGATAGCAGCTTCATGCTGCAGATAATAAAACCAATAGAATTAATGTATTTCCTGTTGTTGAACAGCCAAAAATAAAGACATCATAAGCAAATGAATGTCTGGGGGCATTACACAAACCAACCAAAAAAACACAAAAAAACCCAAGCCATAGCATCCATTTGTTTTGCTAAAACATTAAAAGTGTTCTTTTTTCCCCTCTTCATTTTGGAAGTAAAATTTATGTGATATGAACTACCAGAAAAAGTTTTAGTAGAGAAAATAACATTTGCGTTGCACATACACAAGGAGATGCTCAAAATTCAACGGGACAATGCCTTTAGCACCTTGCTCTAACAGGTCCTGCTTTGAGCAGGATGACCTCCAGAGGTCGCTTCCAACTTCACAATTGTATGGCTTCTCTTATATTCTTACACATATGTAGTGTCCTACTGTTTATTAAGATACAGCTGATAGTAAGGATGCTGCTACACAAAGATAAGGACACAATCCAAAAATATTTCTAATAGCATTCTGACAGCAAAACAAGAATCTACATGCCAGCAAATGAACATCAACAGTATCTCCTCCTCAAAATTAAAAGGGGTATTGTAGACTCAAAATTGAGCACCTGCAAGTAGGTTTTTTCCCTCTGTACAATTTAAGGTACAAGCTGTCAAGTCAGATATTAACATCTTGGAAATTTACCAAGCAAATCCTCTTGGTAAAAGAAGTGATGGTTTTCTATACTGAACTAACGAAGATAGATACTTCTGTTAATGGGAAAAGGAAATTGTTTTCAGGTATGTATTATACCTTAACAAGTTTGCCATCTTACCGGTTCTCCATTCAAACGATGAGCTTCTACTAACTCTAGGAAGACAGACACACGATCACTTGCATCAATTTCAATTCTTTTTCCTTTAGTTTTTGAGGAAGGTGTAGGTTTTCTCATTCCAGGCAAATTCTTTGCCATCTGTAAGGTCTTAATAGCTTCTGATAATTCTCCCATCTTTTTCTGGGTTTGGGCCTTAATTAAGTGATAAACAGGATGTTCTCTCACCTAAAAAAATATAATGATATAAGAAGATTCCAAATTTTACTTTATGCATAGTATTCAAACCCCTTGAAAGAAGATTTTCCAATTTTTTTAAAAAATATTGACCTCAGTTCCTTCTTTCCTCCAAATAAACCCAATTTCAATTTCAGTAATTTACTTATGAAAATATTAGAATTTTCAAAGAGTATGCAAACTAGTAATTAAGTTTTTAATTAAGAAAGAAAAACTATTACATGAGATGAGACTTTGGGATAGAAAAACATTCATTACAGCTTTATTTGAAACTAGGCTGAATTTTAAGGGATTTTAAGCATCCCCCACACTGCTGTATGCACACTTCATTATGCTATTAATTTAAAAAAGTATACAATCATTATTTGGCACAAGTCCTGCCTGCCATTTCTCCACCCTTCTTAAAACATACTTCACATGAAAAGGAAACGTCGATAAGGGAAACGTAACTGTGTACAAAGTTGCAAGCACCTCAGTGTTTCTTAAGTAGGTAGTTAATCTTCAGCTTTCTTGCATCACTTGGAGGAAGGAACCAAGATGGGAGCATGCTTGCAAGAAAATGGTAGTTTGTCACTTTTCAGCTAAGCTCTGTCAAGAGACTTAGCACAACTCAGACCTAATGAGTGCTGTGTAGAGTGTTCCCAACTCAGTGTTAATTGTACATAAAGTTCCACTGATGTCAACAAATCAAAAATGCCATAGTGCAATGTATTAGCCCCAAGAAATAAAACTGGTGTGGACCACTGCAAAACAGTGAAAGTTTTCTAATACAGTGCTTAATTTACCAAAATTGCTCTTGACGGGACAGAAAAGATGGACAAAGATGTGACATTCATGGAAGAGAGCACAGCATATGGCTATTCTCTTAACACTTAGACTGCTTAATGCAGCATGAATTGTCAAGAGGTAACTACAGACCCCTTCTGATCGCCTCATGCATCTGTGCATAACTTCATCAGCAATTGTACTGTGCAAAAAGTCCAGAAACAACATTGGATTACTCTTCAAGTCGTTCTATGCTGGCTTTTAAAGACTGTTGCAAGGTTAGTCTGGAATTACAAATTCTGTTTATGTAACATTTTTAATATTTATGTAAGGATTTGAGAAAAAGCTACCATTTCTTTCTTTTGTATTTCAAAACAAACAATTTCAGTATGTTGTAATAAGGTATTAGTTTTGTCGTTATGGTCATTTCTTTCATAAATATTCAGATACCATGTTCATATAAACATTTAGATATTAAACTTGTAGTGGAAGTCATAAAAAGTTCCATTTAAAAATTATTATATACAAAAACATACAACTTCAGATGATTGACTGCATAAAATGGTTTCATTCTTTTGTCCAGCTCACCTCAAAATTGTAGCTCAGACAAAGTTCCAAGGATTGAGAACACAGTTTAGTATTGTTTTGAGCCAAATACACCTGGGCCATCAGTAAGTGTGCCTCTGCGTAAGAAGGATTCCTTTCAAGACAGTAATGTAGATTACTATGTGCTGCTTCAATATCCCCTAGGAAGTTAAAACAGGGAAAGTGAAAAAATAGTTGGTATGAAATACAGTGGTTAAATATAGAGCATTTATTAATTATTTACCAATTTTATAATTTGGGGTTTTTTAAATAAATGTAAGCATTAGTGAGTAAGCTCATATATGAAGTATTATGTGGCTACGAAATGAAATCAAAACCAGGTCAAAGGTAAGTTATTTTCCCATTGTTCCATCTGTAAATCATTCAATAAGTGATCTTTTTTGGAAGCAATAGATAAAAAAATACCATATTTATGTGTCTGTACAATTAAGATACGCTCATACAAATCACAAAAAAGACAATGCAAGTGTTCTTCACTTAGCTGTACTGCAGTGTTCTGCAGTGAAAGAAAAATATTCATTATGATTTAGAAGTGTGAAATTAATTTTTTATATTAAAGAAACGAAAGAGGTGGATAGCTAACCATTCATATAACTATTACCTGACAAGTATTTCACTTTTGCAATTAAAAAGACTGCTTGTTGAAGACCAGGCACAGTTTTTACCACAGTTTCAAGAACAGAAGCACAGTGCTTGAGAAGTGGTGAAGGAGACTGTCCAGGACTTGCAGGCTAGGAGTAGAAAAACAAAACAAAACAAAAAAACCAACACTTCAGTTGACAGGTTTTGGACTTAGATTTCATTCTAAGTCTGAGCTTCACTTTAGACTCAGCTGAGCAACAGCAAAGCATTGTTAATTTTCTTCAGCCCAAAAAGCTGAAAGCTGTCATTGTGAAGAAATATAAAAATGTTTTAAATTTAAGAGGGCAACTTTATCAGCAGGCACAGAAGAAGCCTCATGGACTTCAAGGATGATAAAACACTTCAGATCTGACATAAGCTTAAGAGTCAGTCCATAAACATTTGGCAACATACTCTGAATTACCATGCCAACTCATCCAACACAATGGTAACATGAACTAAATTTCAAGAGAGCTGAAGGGGGAATGAATGACCAGAAGGATGAGAAGAAAAGGTTCTGGTCTTGTCCCTCCTACCCTCATTCTGTGCCACAGAATATACCCATACTGCTAGCAACAAACTGAAAATAGCAGCTGAGAAATAGCTACTTTCATGTAAACTGCTACTACAACGTATCACATTTTAGCTGCTCATTATCAGAAACATTGTTCACATCATCGCCATTAAGTACTTCTGGAACATACCCCAGAGAAACCTTCAGACAAGACACTACTTCATAGAATGAGACTTCTTATTCTTATTATCTCCCTCTGTGACATGAAATCGTCATTGCTACTGATGTTTTAGACTTTCAAACATCACCATTTCATTATAGATGGTGGGACGGATCATAACAATGGAAAACTACTTATTTGCCTGCTAGATTATTATTCTGAAATAGCCAGGAGCCGGCTCTTGTTATCCCATCATTAGCAGATTTCTAGTCTAATTATAGAACCTTCCCATAAATGTTTATGTACAGTTTTAAAAACTATTTAAGGAAGACACTATTTAAAGAAATTTTAAATGTGTTTCTTCTGCTTTAGAGATGTGAGGTCCCCATTCAATTTATTACGCTCTACATGCCTTTGTTGCCAAAACTAGTACAAGCAAATTCAGTCACAAAAAATGGCCATCTAAGTAAGTGAGATTTTTCTTTGGAATTAGTAATAATAATATAAAAAAGTAGTTGTTGTGGTTTAACCCGGCAGGCAGCTAAACACCACACAGCTGTTCGCTCACACCTCCCCCCCCAGTGGGATGGGGGAGAGAATCGCAGGGTGGGATAACAATAATAATAATAGAATATACAAAGCAAGTGATGCACAATGCAATTGCTCACCACCTGCGGACCGATGCCCAGCCAGTCCCCAAGCAGCGGCCCCTTCGGCCAGCTTTCCCCCAGTTTATGTACTGAGCATGACGTCACATGGTATGGAATGTCCCTTTGGCCAGTTTGGATCAGCTGTCCTGGCTGTGCCCCCTCCCAGCTTCTCGCTGGCAGAGCACGAGAAGCTGAAAAGTCCTTGACCAGTGTAAGCACTACGTAGCAACAACTAAAACATTGGTGTGTTATCAGCATTACTCTCATACTAAATCCAAAACACAGCACTGTACCACCTACTAGGAAGGAAATTAACTCTATCCCCAGCCAAAACCAGGACAGTAGTATTCCACCGATTTTTACCAACACACAAAAGAAATTGAAATGGAGAAAGAACATATATGTATTGAAAAGGTATCCTGAGCTCACAAAAATATTTCAATAGGATCATCAGTGTGAACATCCTAGTTTCATATTGAGATAGTTCTATTCACTGTATTGTCACAGTTTCCTGATCAAAAGAGATACTAAAAAAGTTAAATACACACACACAGTGCATTAAACAAATACCCCAAGTTTCCTCAGGTGTCATTATTTCAACCTGCTCACTTCACAAAAGATGTATTTTCATAGTTATTTTGATTAACTAGTGATATAGTATCTTAAAACACATTTTTACTTCAAATAAATTCACATTTTAAGAGGGAAAATTTACAAAGTTTTTGCTTCATGATTAACTGATCTCAAAATGAAATCCAAGAATAATTTCCATTTTCAGACAGATGTGATCTACAGCTGCTTACCTGTGCTGGGCAAAAATTAAGATATTCCCTAATGATTTCTAGCAAGAAATCAGGGTTTAGTTTTTCAAAATATTCCACACCAAGAGGAAAACCATGCAAAGATGAAAAGTGAGTATCCAGAACATCATTCAATAAGGCAATAACCTCTTCTTGTCTCTTATGTTTTTTCATAGCTAGGACTGCACGCAAGAAAGATAATTCCTACAGAAAAAAAAAGAAATAAAGCATTCTCCATATTCCACATACGTTCATCTGTTACTCATACAATATTACATAGTTATTAATGTTAGCCATTTCTCCCTTGTATTTAGAGATACTGTAAGACATTTAGTATGTTCACTGTAAATGACACTGATGATTATATCAATGCATTCCTTAAATTTGTGCAAGAAGCTCTAAGTTTTTCTGAGCGTAAAATCCTGAAAATAGTTAATATCCCTCCCTTCCTGACATTTTAAACTTATCTTCAGAGATAAAGCACTGCAGGAAGGCAATGATGTTTTTGCTCTGGAAGCAAACAGCCTTGTGCTGCAAAGTTACGCAACACATTAACTTAGATTGATAGGAAGGCAAACTGAAATTTAGATTTAATGGTACTCCATTAAGAACGCTCTGCTCAAGTGACTGAAATATAGAACATGAAGTAGCTAGTAGACCACAATTCAGATTGTAATCAAAGTATTTTAATGAAGGAAGATGTCTCCTACCCCAGATTTCCCAATGGACTGTTGAATTTCATTGAGAAACTCCAACTGCTGCTCTGCATCTTCTAATTGCCCTTGTATTAGCTGACAACGGATAATTCCTGTAACATATGTAAACATTTTATTGCAGATTTGTCTTCTTAGTCAAGCACATGCTTTGTTTTCCAGAATTCACTTTTTCTCTCCTCAACCTCTTCATAAAGTGGTGATATGAGAAGAAAGAATAGATCAAGACTTATGGTAATACAGATTTTATACACTTAGAAATACTTAGGATAGATAATACACAATTGATACATTTATATATGCAATGCTATAAAGCAGTTTCGTGGAAAGATCTCGTCCCTTATGTTACAAAGTTTAAAACAGTAAATCTTCAACTGGTTCTAGACTAAGTAGAAGCACCATAAAGTTTGGCTTCTAAATTCAGAACAAGTACAAGAAGCAAAATAAAATTTAAAAAAAAACCCACCCCACACCCCCAACCACACACACAAACCACTCCTACCCTCTAAATTTTTCGTACTGTTTTAAGTTTCAGATTAGAAGGCAATGGCATAGTCAAGGAGAAAAAATGCAGGGGAAAATCTGTGAAGCAAGTACTCTCCATTTTCTTGACAGCAATTGTACTTTATCAAAAGTAATGTTTTTTAAAGAACATAACATCTACATAAAAAGTATCAGATGTTTTGACTCGATTATGTTTTTCAATCTAATTTAGACATGTATATAGCCATGGATAGCTTGTTCTATCTTGAATTTTTTATTTTTGTAGTTCATAAGAGTTCTCTAGTTCTTAAGCACTACAGAAATAAAAAAAAAAACACAACAACACCCCCCCCCCAAACTATACAGCCACGTCTCTGTCCTTAGCATTACTTTGAGAGTTCTAATTTAAAAGAGAAAAGTTTCACTTTTCAAAAGGAAGACCAAAAGACATATCCAGTGAGGAGAAACTGTTGCTACAAGGAAGACAGCATAACATGAATCAGGAAGTACTGCCCAATGCTCCTGTTCTAATAGTTCTAGATTTTCCTAGTAGCAGTAGTAGGAAAACTTGATCGAAAAGCATCGTCTGTGTCTTAAGACCAGTAAAAACAAAAAGAAAATGTAAGACCTTACCAGTTAGTGCAGAAACACTTGTTTCATCAAGTGTCATAGCAGTCTTGTACCATTTTAAAGCTTCTTTCACTTTCCCTTGTAAAATCATTTGGTAGCCAAGTTCAGTAGCAAATTCTGCATTGTCGGATGCCAAATCAGATGCTCTTTCAACTAAGGTTTGTGTATGTTGAAGGATGAGTTGGTTCCGGCCACACTAATGGTAAGAATAATCTTTAAACCTTAAGTTTTTCTTATTTTTCAGTTTCCCTCAGAAAAACACACTGAATATTGCTGTAGCAGTTGAGACAACAACATCTCATATAAGACTAATGATCTGTAGTAATTTTATAAAAATTGTGACATTAAAGTGTGCTGGATTCAAACATAAATATACAATACCATACAATAAGGAATAATCGATAGTTGCTTTGAATGCTTCCTTAAAACAATTCTGATAAATACTAACATTAAAGAAACCTTCAGTTTCAAGGCTATGTGATTAACCTTGTCATTTTATTACATTAAGAATATGGTTGGTGGACATTTGAGTGTGTTGTCATTGGAAACCTGTTTCTCATTTGAAAGCAAGCAGTAAACACATTTTTGAAATGAGATGGCTTACATATTGTAATTCATACTGAATGTAAAACTTATAAAATGTAGTTACGAAAGGCTACAAAAGGTAATCTATTTCAATTGTCTGCAATCTTCTACTTTTTAGTAGACATTTAACATCTGTCTACCAGAAAATAAAACAAAAACCAGATAGATAGATAGTTGTATGCTGCTTGAGAAAAAAAAGCATACTCACTGTTCTACTGAAAGCTAAAGCCATTTTACAGAAGAGCTGCGAATTACGTGGTTCTAACCTGTCCAGTGCTTTAGTTAGGTCTCCCAGTCTTGCTGAAGCCTTGGGGAAAAAGGAGTAACATAATAAGTAATAGAAAGAATGAACAGATTAGGACAATTGAACAGTTTTTCCTAAAAACTAGTCACATATTTTACAATGCAATATCATCTTGAAATTTAAACTCAGAAGTTTTCAGGGCTAGGAGTTAGATTTAGTTTGGAATTCCTAGAAAAATACTTTGGAATAGTAAAGTGACAGTAAGTAGATCATCTGTCCTCTATACATGCTCTAAAAAAAGTGAAAGGCTTGAGCTGAATCTGATATAATGGAAGAGTCCCATAAAGCAAGATAGTCCGAGGAATCTGATCTGTGAATCTTGTTCGGGCTTCAGTGTGATACAGAAACACATGCTCAAACCCAAAGCACTTTCAGATGCTCAGACTTTTAACATCACAGTTTCTCAAACCCCCTAAGATACTTTAGACATTTCTGGGGTTACAATAATAAGGCACATGTTTTTTTAAATATGATTTTAGATGTAGACACCTGAATCATGTTTAAATCTCAACAGGTTTTTTAATTTTTTCCTAGACGTGAGTCTTAGTCACATGTAACATTTTACCCCAGCATCTCTTGTTTACACCCTACCATGTCCAGAAAGTTTCATTCCTGGATGGCTTTACTGAATTTGAGTCTGCAATTGTTACTGCTTCTCCACATTTCCTATGATTGTGCATAAGTAAGACTTAAATTTGATTATAAATACACTAATGACTTAAGAGTTCTTTGCAGTAACTAAAAATGTGCTAAACAAATGTGTTAAATGTGTTAAATACCTTTTCCTCTACAACTTGAAAAAAACCTACAAAACACTGAAAACACTTTTTTTGCTAAATCTCCACTTAAACTATACCAGCATTTTTGCATAATGAGAAAAAGATATTTAAAACTATTTAATGATTTTTCATGACAATTTAGATAATGTATTTTAAAATTTCCTGAAAAACGGCACAAGCACCATATGTACAAAATACATGTGTATGTCCCTGTGCAGGAAAGGATCTTGGGAGCAGAAGGAAAAGTTAAAGAGAATTCTTAGAACTAAAAAACCCCAGTAACCATCAAAAAAAGGATGAACAAAGCACAGGTTATATAACCTAACATTGTAGACTGTTAAGTGACTATGACGCCCTTCCAAAAATTTATCACTACAAGACCTCATTATTTCCCTTATTTCAATTAATAAAATACTTAAAATTAATGGAAGGCTTACAATAACTTATGAATTTATCAAAAGAGCATTTAAACAATAAAAGATCACTTTTACGATGATTCAAATCAACATGATTCAATTAACTGTCCAGAGGAGACTTCTGTTTGGCTTAATTCCGGTTCTCTGGAAAGATGGAGGTAAAAAATTATGTTTCCTTGGCATCCAGAAACCACCCCAACAATAAGCTAGAGCAGCCATTTGAGTCAGAATAGGCGAATACACCTCTTCCTGCAGATAAGTAGTGTAGCACAGGACCAGACAAAGTATACGAGGAGAAGACATAAAGAAGATAGTGCATGTGCCATCTAGTCCCTGCAATAGCTGTGTTATGCTCAACAGTCTGCTAATAAAGAGACTCACCTCAGATATATTTCCTTCCCTGCACAGATAATGCAGGGCCTCCATTCTTATGGCTTCTAAATTGAGGGCATCTTTCTGCAATAGTCTAAAGCCAAACAAAAGGTGAATGTAAAGAAACCAAAACAAAACCTTTGCTCAATCACCTGTTTTATCCTAAAAGGGGAATAAAATAACTTGTATTGTACAGTCACTTTAAGTCATAGCTCTCAATTGAAAGCACAGCTTTGTTACTTCATTACTATCTCAAGAAAGGTCCTCTTCATCCAAAATGGATTCACATATTGATGTAGTGTCCTCACAGAATTGCAAGGCTGGGTTCTAATAAAACTTAATTTAGTTAAATTTATTTTTTAAAAAAACTGATTTAACTAATTCAAATTCATTAAAAATTAATGGAAACCTATCTACTTTTGTTTCAAAGTTTACAGTGTAAACACGGCAAGAACACAATTAGTGCTGTGCTACTTCATACTCAACCTTTGTGCCGTTTCAACTGCCTGCTCCCAGTCCTGCAAGGCTAGTTGTAG